TTTTAAGACATCACCTTGGACTTTTAGAAGCTAGGATGGACATTTACTACACCAATGCTTAATTAATAATATATTCATTAGATGGACTGCACACAAATTCAATTTTTAAGGTGGATTTTCCATCTATAGAACCTAGTTTGGGTCGTTCTTCATTCATTCATGTCAGAAAATGCGGTTTCCAGCCTCTTGAATCTGGAGATTTGCTGCTTTTCTCTCTTTTATATCACATTAAAGTCATTATCCTTGGACATTTTATGACACCGTGGACTTTTACGAGCTGGGATGGACACTTAGTACACCAAATCATTAATTAGGTAAGTAATCGTAACATGGACCGCACCAAATCAGTTTCAATGAGGATTTTCTTCCTACGTAACCTAATTTAAGCAATATTTCATGCATTCATGTAAAAAAATGCAGTTTGAAGCTCCTTAAATGTGAAGACTTGGCTCTTTTCCCTGTTTGATATCATATTAAAGTGATTATGTTTGCACAATTTACAACATTTAAAGCATCACCTGGGACTTTGAGGAGCTGGGATGAACATTTATTACACCAAATGATTAATTAAGTGAATAATTGTTAGTTGAACTGTGCAAAATCCCTGAAAGTAGCACACTAATTGACTTTAAATGTGCATTTTCCATGTATATAACCCGCTTCAAGTCATTTTTAATGCATTTATGACAGAAAACGCTGTTCTCAGCCTCTCAAATTCGGAGACAAATGTATATCTTTGGACATTAAAGGCCATCACCTTGGACTTGTAGGAGCTGGGATGGACATGTACCACACCAAATGATTAATTAACACGATATTCGTCACATGGGCTGCTCCAAATCAGTTTGAATGTGGATTATTTCCCTCCGTAATCTATTAAACACACCTGGAGAGGCTGCACATATGTAATACAGATGTTAGTGTGCTTATAGCATGATGGATGTGAGCCACCTGGGGACTCACAGAGATAGGGCAGACAAATTCTGATCCTGTGAATAAAATCAGACTTCCTGTTAGCAGCTGGGTGTCACACACTAAAGTGACTTCATGTATTTACCTTCAGGGACACAGAGGAGGGGTTATTTGTTAAACTGTGTGCAATGTATGCAGGATCTGCCTGTTGGGGGAGGATAGTATCAGTGTGACAGCCGTAACACACACATAGAGACTCTCACACACAATGAAATACCGGTTAATGAAACACTAAACCCTCTTACCTGGGGCAGAAGCAGGGACCCTTGTTCCAATGTTTCTCCAGCAGAACATCCACCTCCCTCCGCCCTGAGAGAAGCTTTCTGCAGCCTGTAATGTGTGTTTTAATGTGTGTGTGTGTGTGTGTGTGTCTGACTGTATATGAGGCTACTTGTGCTCCATGCTCATTGTTCTGCACAGCTCCAGAGATCTGTGTCACTCTGCATTGAAATGCTGCAGCTGTTTGCAGGACAGCGTCATAAAAACAGCTGAGGTGCGTTCAGGAACATTGTCTGAGCAGCAGGAGGATATAATAGTAATCGTTATGTGTCTAATGTAAGAAATAAATCCACTAGGGGTTCGTTAGTCCTCCTCACCGGGGCGGCTTCGGGCGGAGCTTACTTCCGTCTCCTTGGCAGATTGTGGCAGCTTTCTTTTAAATGATTTCTGTTTCTTTGGTGTGAAAAATAGTGCAGATGTAGAGACGAGAAGAAGAAGAAGAATAGAAGACGCCTTCAGGTCCTCCTGTTCCGCCCCGGCTCCCCGTCTCTATATAACAATGGAGGAAGAAATTCTTCCCTGTAGACGTATATATACTTACTGTGACGTCACCGGCATGCCTTGCGCCGGAGCATGCTGGGAAATGTAGTTTTTTCCCCCCCTCTCCTTTCTTTCTTCTTTGTTCACGTTGTGCAAAAAATAAACGTTTAGGTTGAGACAGCATGGTGACATAAACGATATTAATAAAAACCCAACTAAATCTGAGTTACTGTTATTATGTTAGTAACATTATTATTATTAGTCTGTTAAAGACACAGTTTCCATGGCAACGTTACTGCAGGTGAGCCCTCAAATCTGTCCATCAAAAATAAACATCCTGATATACACCTGAACATCAGCAGCAGAGGACTCTTTAAAGTAGAGACACTACATACTGATATACACCTGAACATCAGCAGCAGAGGACTCTTTAAAGTAGAGACACTACATACTGATATACACCTGAACATCAGCAGGAGAGGACTCTTTAAAGTAGAGACACTACATACTGATATACACCTGGACATCAGCAGGAGAGGACTCTTTAAAGTAGAGACACTACATACTGATATACACCTGAACATCAGCAGGAGAGAACTCTTTAAAGTAGAGGCACTACATACTGATATACACCTGAACATCAGCAGGAGAGGACTCTTTAAAGTAGAGACACTACATACTGATATATACCTGAACATCAGCAGGAGAGGACTATTTAAAGTAGAGACACTACATACTGATATACACCTGAACATCAGCAGGAGAGGACTCTTTAAAGTAGAGACACTACATACTGATATACACCTGAACATCAGCAGGAGAGGACTCTTTAAAGTAGAGACACTACATACTGATATACACCTGAACATCAGCAGGAGAGGACTATTTAAAGTAGAGACACTACATACTGATATACACCTGAACATCAGCAGGAGAGGACTCTTTAAAGTAGAGACACTACATACTGATATACACCTGAACATCAGCAGGAGAGGACTCTTTAAAGTAGAGACACTACATACTGATATACAACCTGAACATCAGCAGGAGAGGACTCTTTAAAGTAGAGACACTACATACTGATATACACCTGAACATCAGCAGGAGAGGACTCTTTAAAGTAGAGACACTACATACTGATATACACCTGAACATCAGCAGGAGAGGACTCTTTAAAGTAGAGACACTACATACTGATATACACCTGAACATCAGCAGGAGAGGACTCTTTAAAGTAGAGACACTACATACTGATATACACCTGAACATCAGCAGGAGAGGACTCTTTAAAGCTGTGTGTAATCCATCCACCTTTGGATCTACAAGAAAGGGGAGTTTTCTCACAGGATTTATTTCTACCATTTGTCCATAAAGCCATTTAAAATCTCAATAAACGTTCATGTTTAAATAAACGTTGCATTTTTCCAAAAGAGCTCAAGAAAATGTAGGATATTGTTTTTAAAAAATCACATTTATTTTCCTGCAAACATTAGGAGACAGCGATGGCGGGAGGTTCATTGGTCAGTGTTTTAATAATGCTGATGAGACAAATAGCCAAAAATTGGTTCTATTCATTCAATGTTTGGAGTAAAAAAGGGACTGAATATAAACTAACTGTTCTCAGCAGCTCCATCACAGGTATTAATATTTGGAAGGGAAAACATCCAAAAGCTAGCATGATGACGTAGAAATGTTAAAAATATTATTCTAATAAAAGATTCCTCTTGAAATATTAATGATCTATTTACAAATGGGCAGAAATGAGCATGATGAAATGGTTTTGTGCTTATTAAGCCGTGAGAGATGGGAAGCAGATAAATCAATTAATATGATAATCGATTCATATTATTCAAACATTTGCTGATTAAAGCGTCTCAAATGTGATGATTTTAGGCTTTTTCTTCATCATATCGGATTAAAAACGGAATATTCTGGACTTCTTTCTTTGTTTTATGATCTTTTGCAGAGAAATCGATAAATAAAAAGCAGGTAATTCGATACAGAAAACAATCATTAGTTGCAGCGCTGATCGAGTGGTGCAGGAATGCTGTAGTTCCTTTATAGCCCAACATTAGCCACCTGTAGCTTAGCGGTGGTGAAGTGAAGTCATGTGACCGTGCTGTGGTTCTTTTATAGCCCAACATTAGCTTTTTACTTCAGAAATCATTAGGTATCATTAGGATTCGGCCGCCGATCGTTATCGGCCGATACTCACTCTCGGCCGATCGATCGGTGCTCTCTATAAAGGCCGATCAGGAGAGCCGATCACATGACGTAAAATACATGACACTTTTCTCTGGGCGCGGCAAAACAAGCTCGCCAAAATGGCTTCACTAGTCTGGCAGTATTTAAAGGTGTCCGAAAAAGACAATAAAATAGCGGTAAGCAACGTGTGTGTGAAGCAGAAACCCTGCAGCTCCGCCCGCTGTGACGGACCGGTGAGCGGAGCGAAACACACACTAAAGAGTTAGACCCAACACACTTAGCTATTTGATCTACCTCTGGAACAAGCTAAACTAGTTATAGGCTAAATATGTTTATTCTTCACTTTCGGGTCACTCATTACTGGATCAGTGAGCTGCATGAGATACTGACGGGCTGTCGGGAGAGAGAGAGAGACAGAGGGTGTTTCTCAATCGCGAGTACGCTTGCTTGGTAGCACATGTCTGCCGAGCATCTTGCTTCAGAAGCGAGTCAAGAATACTTTCTGGCATTCGGAAAACAAAGAGAGGAACACGCTAGCAAGTGTGCAGGTGTGCGTCCTATGAGAGGCCCCGCCTCTTACATCTTCCGCCACAGATTTTGGAAATTGGTCCGTGCGCAAAGCATTGTGGGGATTTTAAGACCGCGAAGTCTACTCATGTGCACACTCGATATTTCTCCAAACGGAGTACGCCGGGCTCGGTAGATTTCCAAGTATGCTGGAGATTGGAACAGTACTTTCGGCGGCACTCGATGACGTAGTATGCTTGAAATAGTGGCTCTGAAGCAGCTTTACTCGCGATTGAGAAACACCCACAGAGAGAGAGAGAGACTTCCACTCATTTCTCCCGTGTTATTATCCAAAGTTAATGTAAACTTGAATAATGTACTTCATTTGAATGTAATAATTATGTTGGTTGTTGTTTGTGGAAGTGCATCATGTATTGAAAAATGAATCTGAACTTTTCGATCCGTTACGATTATAAACTGAAGCAATATAAAAATGAACCCCATTAACTGAGTTTTAAACATCACTTTAAATGGAAGATCCCCATAGCCCCCACCCACCAGATCCGATCGGCCCCAAAATTCCCGATCGGAGCATCCCTAGAAATCATGAAGTGGAGTTAATATGTGGAGATTATCCTGCTGAACAAAACGTGTCAGTATCATAAACGTTTGTTTGACACAGAGATTATTTACTGCAATAATCCAAAATTCCACTGAACCAGGGAGATGCTGCCTTCAGGGTCCAACAGACATCTCTGCACCACTCTATAGGTAACACATGCAGGTGATCACTCAAACAGACGGTGTTTCATCATCATTCAGAGTTCATAAGTAGCAACCAGGAGACCCTGTGGGCGCTCCACTCTAATTACAAAGACCTATGAGTGTTTAGGAGTCTGGAAAGAGTATTTTCCTCCTCCAGTTAAAACCAAGGAAATACTTTGTTAGCATCAGCTTCCCTTAACGTCCTTTATGTGATTGTGTGACCATGTTTCCTGCAGACTGGCATCAGAAATCAGCTATAACAGAGGTTTGCTTTTTTCCATATTTTGGTTGTTTGAAGTTTGGCACACCAGATGCTCGGCTCACGTTGATTTCAGCAGCTGTAGTGCCGCTAACCTCGTTCATTACAAGAAGCGAGAAGAAAAGGAGAAAAGGTGAGAAAGTGTGAGGAGGAGATCACGGCACAGTCACTACCTCAGGAGTCAGACGGTAAGGTAAAGTGAGGAGAGGGCGGGGCTTCAGATGTCGAGGCGTCCTCCACTTATTCGTCTACTTGCCAGCACTTGTCGAGTACAACAACGTTCTATGTTAGAAAATGTACAGTACGGATCCCCAGCACGTAGAACCTGCCGGATGCTAACCTGCATATGTTGGGCAATTTGCACAATTAGGATAAGTTGCAGACAATAGCTAAACAATAATGGCTTGGTTGATTTGGACAATTTTGTTCAAGGTATATTGAGGATGTTGAATAAATTCCTGACCCTTGTAGCATCAAAAATGTCAGTTATGAGTCCCCTATAATGATAAAATCGACCCAAAATTCATCAAATCAGTCCTTTCCGAAGTACAAATATGGCCACTTTCTGGTTAAAACTGCCATTTATGATCCTAAAAAATGTCAAAAACTGGTCCAACATACTCATAACCTCCAAAAACACTCAAAAACGGTCCAAAATCAACTACTATCTGTATATGCTAATTAACACAACTTATGCTAATTGCTGAACATATGCAGGTTAGCATCCGGCAGTTTCTATGTGCCGAGGACCCGTATTATACATTTTCGGGTTCACAACAGGACTCAAATGAGCTGGCAGACAGACGTTATATTCCAGGAGCGTCGAGGAATGTGAAGGATTCATCTTTAATTCGGGATTAAACAGCTCCTGCCTTCACTTCAGGATGATGTGGTATCCGTCATTCGAGTCATCTGGAAGGAAAAAGAAGGGGCGTTATAAATAAAAACCTGCAAATGATAAAGTTCATCAAGCTTTAAATATAGAAATCAAAGCGCTCAAATACCTTTCATGGTGTCCAGAACAAAACAGACTTCATCCTGGAAGTTCTGAATCATCTGTTAAAAGAGGAAATGGGATTTTGAGGGGTTTTCCGAACTTCAGTATTTTTAAAGATATTTTGACATTTGATCCTACTTGTACATCGAGTTAGCTGTAATTTGGCCGTTCATAGTGATTCATTGACAGATGTGTATCTTTCACTCTCAACATGTATGTATTTTACCTTTCAGTTCTGTTTTATTTTCTATTTTGAGATGTTTATATTCTATGTTTGCTCCTTTATTTTAACATTATGTGCAATACCTCATTTCAACATGCTGCTGTACCCAAGAAAAATCTAAATTTGGGAACAACTAAGATATCTTATCTTATTTTGACAAATCCAAGGACTACCATTTTCTAAAATCTCCGCTGCACTTAGATTCTGACCCTGAACACACCACAGGGATTTATTTTATTCCAAATACATCAAATCATCAACTAAAATAACTGAGATGTTTCACAAAATGTGACAATCAACGAGATTAATTTTCAAATCAAAGCTCAAAAGTATCTCATGCATGGTGAAATATATCACAGCTGCGATCAGGGTGCACAAATAACTTAATTAAAGTCTGGAAAAGATTCAAATATGACCCGTTTTTCAATAGATTACCGTAGTTTTTTGGCTGGTAAATGGAAGTGATTCAACAATAAACAAATTTTGCCCACAACGGACAAATACTTATTAAAGTTGTATCAAAGTCTCAAACTAAAATCTTCAACCAAACCCCCTGATAATCTACGATAGACGGGGGATATGGAAAGCCAACGGTTAAAATTAAATTAAGATATTTGCTTTCTCAGACAATTTTGCACATAAAATAATGCAAATGTATCTATTGTTTTTCCTTAAAATTGGAGAATATTCTGTTGTTGTTGTGTGTAAATCCACAGGGGGTGTTAGTTACCTCGTCGCTGACCAGCACGTGGATGCCGGTGGGTCCCTGTTTGAAGATCTGATTTATTTGTCGTGGCGAGATGTTGAACAGCTGAGCGATCTTCTCCGTCAGCTCCGAGGAAGTGAGCTCCTCCAGGTAAATAGCGTGATATACTGCAGGAGGAACAAAAAGGTACAAAGACAGGATTTAAATTAGTTTCTACACAGAGTAACATCTCTAGTTGTTGATGCAAGTTAGGTGTCTGTGTAATAGATATGGAGCTACAGCTGCTTAGCTTAGCATAAAGCCTGAAAACTTAAAGGGGACCTATCATGCAAAATGCACAAGCGCTTTCTTAGAAGCCATTGTTGAGCGTCCTGTGGCGTTGCCGTGGGTAACAGATTCTGCGGGGGAGGAAACAACTGAGGATAAAAAGTGGAATTACAATCTGAACAACTTCAACATTCAAGGCTGTTATTGTCATGTGCACTTTAGCTACAGTGTAGAAATGGCAATGAAAAACTGAAGTTACAGGCTCCTCCAACAGAGCAACATGAATATATATATATATATATATATATATATATATATATATATATATATATATATATATATATATATATATATATATATATATATATATATATATATATATATATATATATATATATACAGGACATAAAACAAATAAAACAGATAAAACAGTATCTCAGAGTTAGGGTGTAGAAGTCAGGTGGAATTACTGGCTTAAAACATTTAAAAAGAGAGGAGAAAATTGAGGCTACTAATTCCAAACCGACCCCTACACCCTACCACTTGTCAGAGGTGGGAAGTAGTGGAGTACAAATACTTCGTTACTGTACTTAAAGGGGACCTATCATGCAAAATGCACTTGTGTACGTCTTTTATACATGAATATGTGTCCCCGGTGTTCCAGGGAACTCACCAAGTGTCAGAAAACACAACCCTCTCTATTTTCCTCCATACCCAAATCTCTAAAAAAGGGGCTGCAACGGATCTGATAAAAACTGATCCAGATTTGAACACTGTCCTGACGTCAGGACGGTGGCGCTACGGCTATTGGGCCAACTCCACCAATCAGGAGGAGACAGCCACGGCCATTGCCGTTCGAAAGCGCTGGAGACGCTGTAGTACATATGCCAGGCCTGTAGGTGGTGCTGTTCTCACAGAATCAGCCCTTGCTAAAACAGAGCTAGAAAATGTCAAATTGAGCAAAATGAGGCATGGCTAAAATGCATGATCTGTTTGGTATTTTGAAAAAAAAAAAGTATAAATATGCCTTATATAGGTATGGTCCTACACTATATTATTCAAATATAGCATGATAGGTCCACTTTAAGGCCTGGCTCTGTCCACAAGTAACAAAACCTGCACACCAGCACTTCAAAATTCAAATATGCAAGGCAAGGCAAAGCAAGTGTATTTATGTAGCACCTTTCAACACAAGGCAATTCAAGGTGTTTTACAAAAATGAAAGACATTCAGAAAATGGCATTTAAAAGCAAAGATAATAAAATAAACATTAAAAGAAAAAATACATGAATAAAAGTTACAGTGCAGTTTAAGATATGATCCTTTGCTCTTTGCACTAATTCTTCGTTTTTCTGTTTTGCGATAGGGTCCCAGACTTCTATTATTAACACTTCGATAGGGTCCCAGACTTCTATTATTAACACTTCTTAGGGTCCCGGACTTCTATTATTAACACTTCTTAGGGTCCCGGACTTCTATTATTAACATTTCTTAGGGTCCCCGACTTCTATTATTAACACTTCTTAGGGTCCCGGACTTCTATTATTAACACTTCTTAGGGTCCCGGACTTCTATTATTAACACTTCTTAGGGTCCCGGACTTCTATTATTAACATTTCTTAGGGTCCCCGACTTCTATTATTAACACTTCTTAGGGTCCCGGACTTCTATTATTAACACTTCTTAGGGTCCCGGACTTCTATTATTAACACTTCTTAGGGTCCCGGACTTCTATTATTAACACTTCTTAGGGTCCCCGACTTCTATTATTAACACTTCTTAGGGTCCCGGACTTCTATTATTAACACTTCTTAGGGTCCCGGACTTCTATTATTAACACTTCTTAGGGTCCCGGACTTCTATTATTAACATTTCTTAGGGTCCCCGACTTCTATTATTAACACTTCTTAGGGTCCCGGACTTCTATTATTAACACTTCTTAGGGTCCCGGACTTCTATTATTAACACTTCTTAGGGTCCCGGACTTCTATTATTAACATTTCTTAGGGTCCCCGACTTCTATTATTAACACTTCTTAGGGTCCCGGACACCTGAACCATGTGCACAATTGTAATATATCAATTAAAAGCAGCGGCAAAAAGAAAAGTCTTCAGCCTGGATTTCAAAGTAGTCAGAGTTGCAGCGGACCTGCAGGTTTCTGGGAGTTTGTTCCAGATGTTTGGAGCATAATAACGGACATACACACATTCAATCTTTTTCGTTAAATCCGTATTAGGTCAAGGGGTAAAAATAACGCCAATCTTTGATATACCACTGTGATCCCACCAGGCTCTGGGTCTTCCTAGATTTGGCAAATTAGTAATAATATGTTAACTAGTGTCTGTACATATACTGTAAGCTCATGACCTTCATCTACTCCTTGCACACTCTGGTTGGATACAAACTGCATTTTGTTGCATTATGTGGAATGACAATAAAGTCGAATCTAATCTTTTATCTCAGAGTGATTCAGGGATTTTGTAATGTGTCTCCTAGCTGATCAAATCTCATGCATCCTGTCAAGAATTCAGAGTTTAATCTATACATGTTTCTCCAATAACATGCATGAACATCAGTCCATTCTAAATACAATATATAACTTAAAAGTAGATAATCTTAGGTTGGTTTATTTGACGCTAATGTACCTGCAGGATTCTTGCTGATCTGAGTTTGTATCTTCATGGTGGATTATTGTAAGTGGCTCTGGAGAAAGCATCGTCTAAATGTAATGCATTAAGACCACTGACCAAAGAAAGTGTTAGCAGCAGCGTCTCCGTTCTCATGTTTGGGCTGCTGCTCTCTGGCCTGCTGAGACTCCTGACAGACGTACACCGTCAGCCTGGGACGCACCACCCTGCAGACAGAGAGGAAACAATCAATCAATCAATCAAGTGTTATTTATATCGCCCAATATCACAAATTACACATTAGTCTCCAGCAGAGGTTGCGCTAGACTTTTTCGCTGCCCGTCATTTTGTCGGACAGGATCGTAACATTTCCGTCAAAATCCATTATAGAGTGGCGAAGTCCCTCCCCTTCCGGTGGACCTCCATGGGACCTTATTTCGGAAAAATTATGTATTGAAGTCAATGGAGAGAGAAAGATTATCTTTCGATCTCGTTTGAATTGTGCCACGATTTACACATATGATGTTTGTCAATTTAAAAGATAATTTTGCAAGTTACAAAAAAAAAAAAATGTGTCGTAAAACTGTGAAGTAACACATTTGTTTGTGTGAAACGCTCAATGAACTACATCTCTGGTCCACAACACACGTCACCAAGATGGCCGTCACTACTGTCTTGTCAACAAAACGATTGACTATCCTCACTATCACCACAATGAAACACGTCCTGAAGAATGTCATGCAAAGCTGCCTGCCTGCCTTCCTTTGATTCTCTCTGAACTGCCTGGTCGTTTTAATGTTTAATGTCAACCATTTGTGCAGATAGCATGAAGTAGAGAAGATCGCTAGCGTTAGCGTTAGCATTTCTCCCCCGGGATTAAATGGTGTATTATAGAATGATCACACCGGTGACAGTACTCTTCAAAGGGTTCACGAAATATGACTACTACTCTTACTGTTTAAGATTTTGGGTTACTTAATGTTACTTCATGTTAAGGCTAATAAAAATGACAAGGCTGTAATGCTAACTAACGTGCTAGCTACTAGCTAGCTTGATCCAGACACTCCTCTTTCATCAGACGAGAAGCGAAAGAACGAGCAAGACCCATTGCTGGTATGAACAACCTGGTACTAAGCACACAGGCATCTTGTGAAAGTTATCTTATCTTAGCCAGCGCCATATAGATAGATTATATCTATATTGCGCTGATCTTAGCTATCTCTTAGTGGAGGAAAACAATTGTGACATCACTTACGCGACTCTGGGATTTGTAGTCTTTCTAGTTGCGTATTTTTCATAGTCTTATATTTCAACAGTTTTACGACAAACTGTGACTTTTTTGACATGGAAATGATTTTTAAGATTGACAAACATCATATGTGTAATTCATGGCACAATTCAAACGGGATCGAAAGATACGTTTTCTCTCTCCATTGACTTCAATACATTATTTTTCCGAAATAAGGTCCCATGGCTCGGAAGTAGATGGGCGTGACTTCGCCACTCTATTACCCATCGGTCTTTACATAACTCTGACGGGGGGGGGGGTGGAGAGAGAGAGCACGCTGGTGAACTGTCAACGGGTGGGGGGGGGAGAGCACGCTCGTGAACTGTTAGCGCCGGTGTTATGCCGTGTTATGCATGCCCAGTTGCACCTCTCGGGAGCGCGCCACAGCGTAAAGCAAATACTCCCAGACATTTCAATGATTTGTATACGGCAAAGTTAGGTTTGGAAACGATATTATTTCTTTTTTGGCGTGCATGCATAACACCGGAGCCTCGCTGCGGGGAAGCTTTGGAGCTGTTCTGAGTTTGTTCTAATCTGTCAAAATGACGGACTGCTTTCAGATTTTTCCGTCATTGTTAAAAAAAAATCGGTTAACGCGACCAGGGGCTTTACACCCTCTGTCCTTAGACCCTTGCAGGAAAAATCGCCCAAAGAAACTCCGCGATTAACGGGGAGTGAATATTTTAAACCTCGAGGAGGATCCCTCTCCCAGATCAAACAGAGGTGCAAACGATGTTGTGTGTCGAGATTAAAAAAACATAATAAGTTACAAGATAGAGAATCTAAATGTTAGAACTTGTGTATATATATCTTCTCAAAAAACCACGATGGATCCGGGTGGATGTCAACAAACTTCCAGATGCCGCCCAAAAAGAAAAGTAGTAAGATGGGGTGTGCAGCAGGACCACAGGCACGACTCGTGACCCAGACATAACCCGTACATATATCAGGATATGAAGGAGACTCACCGTCCCTTCAGAGCGTTGAAGAGTCGGATCCCATCAGCCGGTCCACAGATCTGGATCACATCCTCTCTGGTCAGCTTCAGCAGGTCGGCTCCTGGTGAAGAAACAAGAGACTCCATTAGGAAAAGAAAACACTTCCTCTAAACACGATATGGAGGGAGGAAAAGGGAGGCGTGTTGCGCAGTGGATTAGTGCGTTGGTGTTCGGATCAGGGGGGTTCAAACCCCACTGCAGTCAGCATGTCGTTGTGTCCCTGAGACACTTCACCCCAAATTGCTCCTGTGGGGATTGTCCACAGTATTGAGTATGTTAGTCGCTTTGGATAAAAGCGTCTAACAAGTGACATGTGATGTAATATGGAAAGAGCGGTGCAGGGTGGAACCAAGTGCAGGACACAAACAGTTAACATGAAAAAAAACTTTATTTAACGTTTCAATCCTGTGGCACAATAAAGAAGAATTCTCCCGATAAACAAGGATGTGACAAATACTAACAAAAAGTATTTTAATGCAGAACTAATCACAAGGATAGGTCTAAACTTGGGGGGCATGCTAAAACTCAAGGGTAGCAGGTGAAATCATCCAGGTAATCAAATGGGAGAGAAAACACAGAGACAGGAAGTAAAAACAGACATAACAGAACTTCATAACAAACAGAAAACACTCACAGATAATAACCACATGTGCACACAATCTTCTTTCATTATGTCTGCTTCATGCAAAACATTTGACCCTTCCCATAATACCTATTCTACCACGGTGAAGGTTGCATGTCCTCTGTGTATTTGTTCCTACTTTTTGTATTATTTCTGTATACTTTTATATATTTCTTCTTATTAATTGGATTTGATTTGATTTATTTCGAATGTGTAAAACAATAATACAAACAAAAAAATAATAATAATGACAAACTTAAGCCGTGTCAAATTGATAAGCAAAAATATTACTCACTCTAAATTATATATAAAAAAAATGATCTCCTTAATTACACTTATTTAATCCCACCCCTTCTCCCAAAAACTAAATTATATATATAGTTATGTATTTTTTTAATTTATTTTTTTTACTTACTTTTTTACTTTTCTAACAAAAACATAAAACAACAAATACATAAACAGATAAATAAACAAATAAATTCAAAAACAAATACATAAGAGGTAAATGGTAATCCAGAAAAGATAAAATAACAAACCAAATAAATGAATAAACCGTAAACACCCAGTTATGATTGAACAGTTTCATCCCTGTATCTTGTGAAAATCATGTCCTTATACCCTTTTTTTTAAAAACAGTTTTTCGTTAGGACATCTTATTGTTTAAGTTTCTGAACAGGTGTTGCACCAGGTGTGTATTTCAGAGCCATTTTTACCTGAGAAGTTGGTGAAGAGCCGACAGAAAGGAGAGAAGCGGTTTCTTAGAAGCCATTGTTGAGCGTCCTGTGGCGTTGCCGTGGGTAACAGATTCTGCGGGGGAGGAAACAACTGAGGATAAAAAGTGGAATTACAATCTGAACAACTTCAACATTCAAGGCTTTTATTGTCATGTGCACTTTAGCTACAGTGTAGAAATGGCAATGAAAAACTGAAGTCACAGGCTCCTCCAACAGAGCAACATGAATATATATATATATATATATATATATATATATATATATATATATATATATATATACAGGACATAAAACAGATAAAACAGATAAAACAGTATCTCAGAGTTAGCGTGTAGAAGTCAGGTGGAATTACTGGCTTAAAACATTTAAAAAGAGAGGAGAAAATTGAGGCTACTAATTCCAAACCGACCCCTACACCCTACCACTTGTCAGAGGTGGGAAGTAGTGGAGTACAAATACTTCGTTACTGTACTTAAAGGGGACCTATCATGCAAAATCCACAATATTATGGGCTCAGAACAGTCTCATAATTCACACAGAAGGATTCACACTTGTGTTTTTCAATGCACACACAAATGTGTTCCGTTTCATATACATGTAAATAAAATCCAAATACAGAAAAATGTTTTACATATGTATTTTTGATCCACACATTTGTTTTCCTTTTAAAACACAAACCGCTTTCTGTGCATGGATCGCTGTGCATTCGTGTGTGAGTTTTTTGAGACTCCCCTGACGGTCACCCGATTCGTACTTGTAATTTGTTTCTATCTATAGCCAATCAGATGTCTCCTCAATTCTAAGCCAATCGCATTAGCGCGCCCCCACGAGGGTATGATTTCTTGCATTCATGACGAAGCCGGACGAAGCGCTTCATATACGCTTTTTGCGCTGTCCGGAGCTGACAGGTCCCTCTCAGGACACCTCCACTCTCAGTAAAGCGCCACTTTCCGAACAGGAAACGCACGCAAATACAATCTTTTATATTATTAAGGTACAGCGCCACTTTCCGAACAATTAATGAATGCTTGTGTACACAAAAACGGCAGGCAAAACCGTTTTAAATGTGTGTTTCCTGTATGGCGAATACAGCAGCTTTATTTATGCCTGTATGAAGTTGTTGTGACTGTGGAGGCAGCAGCTACAGGTTAGCTGAGCCTAATCGATCAGTGCACTACGAAGCCAGTTCTACAGACCCTGGAGATCTCTGAGTTATCTGGCTTAACTAACCCTAACGAGCACGATCTCGCCAAGCGGTCCAACGAAGCTGGTTATCAACTCGGTAACTCAACCCAGGGTTTCTCCGTCCGGCCGAGAGCGCGTTCACATGAAAGGGGCGGGGTTAGCAACATTTGACCAATCACAAACATGGACAAGCGTACTGTCAGCGCAGCGTCATACTTCCTGAATGAAAATATTAGACATATGAAGAAGTTAAACCTTAAACACTTTATCCAGGATAAAAGCCACATAGCTGCCCTCTTGGCCAGGTCGCTCTTAAAAAAAGAGATTTTAAAGGTCACCTATTATGCAAAATCCCCTTCTTCATGTCTCTTCTACATCAGCATGTGTCCCCTCTTCTCCATGTTTCTTCTACATCAACATGTGTCCCCTCTTCTTCATGTCTCTTCTACATCAGCATGTGTCCCCTCTTCTCCATGTCTCTTCTACATCAACATGTGTCCCCTCTTCTCCATGTCTCTTCTACATCAACATGTGTCCCCTCTTCTTCATGTCTCTTCTACATCAACATGTGTCCCCTCTTCTTCATGTCTCTTCTACATCAACATGTGTCCCCTCTTCCTCATGTCTCTTCTACATCAACATGTGTCCCCTCTTCTTCATGTCTCTTCTACATCAACATGTGTCCCCTCTTCTTCATGTCTCTTCTACATCAACATGTGTCCCCTCTTCTTCATGTCTCTTCTACATCAACATGTGTCCCCTCTTCTTCATCAACATGTGTCCCCTCTGTGTAAAGAGACTCTGAAAGTTTCAGGAACAAAGATTCAGGAACAAAGATTCTCTCTCTTTTTGTCCTGATCCATTTTTATAAAAACCTGTCTGAAAATGAGCTGATCAGATTTTGGCCACTTTGTGATGTCATAACGATGTTTTGTCTTGTGTAACCATTAGCCAATCAGCAACCAAGGTAACCCCCCCCCCCCCCCCCCCCACCTTATCACCTGAATCTCCTCCTAGAGCACCATTGAGTTCTTTGTAACCAAATCTCTCTCAGAGGGGCGTGGGGAGGGGCTCCTTATTTTCATCTAAAGTAACAGACAGAGAATCAGCACTTTGGAAACAGGGCTGAAACAGAGGGGATTATGGGATGCTGCAATGATCTGTTTGGTGTTTCAGCCAATCAGAGAGAGGTTCTGTATATATCTGAGACCTGTGATATATTGATGAGAAACAGTATGATAGGGGACCTTTAATCTCAATGAGACTTTTACCTGGTTAAATAAAGGATTTATATATACCTCGAGTGTAGAGGGAGGTGCGCTTACATCAGCGACCTGTACGACCGGCTCGGGCAGGTGGGTCGGGGAACCATTTCTGATATAAAGGGCAAAAAATACCATGTTATAAACCTGGAAAATGTCAGAAAAAGATATTTAAGTTACGACAATGAGGTATGGATGTGTAGATGTATAGATGTATAGATAGATAGATAGATAGATAGAAAGATAGATAATTACTATACATATAATACATTAAATCTTGGAAATCTTAATCCCCCGTACCCTTCAGCGACGGGGAAGCTGTTGTGCGAGGTGTTGAATCCCGGAGACGGAGAGTTACTGACGTACGAAACCTCCGGCCAGGGGCAGCACTGCAACACAAAAACACTTCAATTATTGAATAAAAAACAACACAATTAAATCTCTGCTGACATTAATTACAAGCTGCTGCTTTCCCTGACATCTCATTTCTGTTTGAGTGCGTCACGTGAGAGGATTAAGATTAAGTCTTTTTTATTTATTTTCTATGGATAAAAAGGATCATCGACGTCATGATGCTAATTTGTAAAGAAAGTCTGTATTTAGGCTCTTTTCTACAAGACGGAAAGAAAATAACTTTAAAGGGGACCTATCATGCAAAATGCACTTTTTGATGTCTTTTATACATAAACATGTGTCCCCGGTGTGTCAGGGAACTCACGCAGCGTCAGAAAACAAAACCCTCTCTTTTCCTCCGTACCCAAATCTCTAAAAACGGGGGAACAACGGAGCTGATCCAGATTTGCGTCCGATATGACGTAATATCTGAAATGTGGACCCACGGCCCTATCAGAAAAGTTGCTATCAGAAACAATGCCCGACTGTTTTGGACGTAATATGGTCGGTGTTTACATTAGCATGGCTAACACTCAGAGCTAACCTGTACTGGAGAGCATGTGTGTGAAGAAACAGGAAATAAAAAGGAACTCACCTTGTGGTATAACCGGCAAGAGAGAAAGCCTTTGAGCTCCATACTGTTTCAGAAAGAATCCTTGATAATCCATGATATGGCGTTTCATCACGGCAGTATTTAGTTTAGACAGTAGCTGCCGGGTCCTGCATAAGCCCCGCCCCCTCCCCTTTTATTTTGTATCAATTTTTTTAAAGCTTTATACCCCAAATCAGCCCTTTTGAAACAGGAAGTGAAATAGAGGGATATGAGGCATGGCTAGAATGGGTGATCTGTTTGGTATTTTGAGCAAAACACTTCATAGACATGTTTTTTAAATATTTGTATATATAAAAAAATATGGTATTGTATATATCTTTTGGGGCATTTGGGTTTTTTATTAATTAACATGGGCCATTGTGCACATTTGTACACAAGCTACCTCTCATCCACTTCCATTACACTACTGCACATATTATATTTTATTATTCCAAGTACTTTGCACTAGTATACTGCACGTAGTTTGTTGGTATATCCAGATTTCATGTAAATAATTGTCTATATCTTAACAGTTTCAATTGTTTTTATTTTATTCTTTGGTTGTTTTTCTTACCTTTTATCTTCTTTAACTGTTTGTACACCAAGACAAATTCCTCATATGTGTAAACCTACTTGGCAATACACCTGTTTCTGACTCTGATGAGGATTTTTCCCACAATTGTTCGACATTACTACGACGTTAACCAAGAAAACATCGATGCTGTGTTTAATTTTGACGACTCTCCTCTTGATTTGAACCATTTGAAACTTCATCAATATTCTCACCTCTGTCAGGATAGTCGTTTCATACGATGGTTGGTATTTTTCTTTCTCCTGCGGCGCTCTCTTCTCCATCTTCTCTCGGTCCGTCTTCTGCTTCCTGTCGGCTCCTTTAGGCTGAAACAGGTGGAACAATTCATGACAAATACTGTATTTGCATTGCAGTTCATCCATTAATCCATTAATCCAATAAAAATAGCTGTTTCGAAAAGCTAAAATAAGGAAATGGCAATAAAACTTCAGATTTTACAACTGATATGTGTTAAACAAGTATTTCCTGTACGATTCCAATACTTTTTTATAGTAGAAATGTCAGTGCAAACAGAGAGAGACTACAACCTGTGATTGAAGGTGAATGAAGCGTACCTGTTTCAATGTCTGTATTTTAACCAAAGTAATGTTTGTAGAGCCCTTCATTACATCTCCTCACCTTCCATATTTTAGATATATTATTTAACATAGGTGTAAAAGATATTAAGACTTGTTGATTTTGTTGACTTGTTGAAAACAGCCATTTAAAAAAGCGATCACATCTGCCTCATCACGTTAGCTAGCGCTAGCAGAAAGAGGGACATGGACTTCTAGAATTTAAAAAAGATAGGTATCAGTAAAACTATCTTTAACTATATTATTATTGTATGTGTATATCAACATTTCCATTTTTTTAATAAGACGATACGGTCAATACCAGTAGATCAATTAGCCCTTAAAAAAATGTATGTAAAATGATAATGCGTATAAATGGAAATGGGAATTTTCTGTTTTATTAGCCATGTAAATAGCTTGTTAGTAATAAGGTGTTTTTCACAACGAAGGGTAAAAACAGAATATTTTGTGCATGTTAACTTAGTCAATGGACAGTTTCATCCCACAGGCAATAAGACTCAAGTGTTTGCAACTTACAAATTATTTATCTAATATATCATATTCCAATTACTTGTATATAGACTCTCCTTGCACTATTCTATTCTATTTGTATTTACTTGTTGGAGGAGCCTGTGACCTCAGATTTTCATTGATATATCTACACTGTAGCTACAAATGAAAATAAAAGCCTTGAACCAGGAGGCAGGTACTTGCTTTCAAGCAGAACAGGGCAAACTAACTTAGAGGAGTGTTTACGTGTTCGGCGTAATGACGTACAACGGCCTCAACAACTTCTGTAGTCCTATTCAGCCACTTGGTAACAACCATCGTTTTTCAGACACGTCAACTCTTCAGAAATCACCAGTGGGGTCACTGCTGATGGATTTAATGTCCTAGAACAAAACGTGATCCGTCTCTTCAATGCGTCTCAACCACAGACCTTATTTACAGATATTTTCCAAAATCCTATGGAGAGATCCCATTTTTGACTTTTGACCTTTCCCCCTCCTCACCTTGAAGACCTTGACCTGGCAGGACGCAGAGTGCAGGTGTTCGGTGTACTCTTCGTTCTCGTTCTCCTTAAACGTGTCGATCTGGATCCGGAAAGGAACGCCTTTCTCTCCTCCGTGTTTACGCATCGTGAATTCTGTGCTTATGCAGTGTACCTAACAGAAAGAAAAGGAATATATAAGATTTAAGATCAGTACAGGAATGATGATATATTATAAACTGTCTTTTTGCTAAATAGAATTTATGAGAACACTAAATGCTAACAAGTTTAGCTCAATGATGCCAAAATGACGACAATACAGCGGCGCAGGGATGTCGTATTTCTGTGTTAGGCCCTGAATGCAGCATCTTCCTGGTTCAAATAAGCTAAAGGCGGCTAATGTTGGGCTATAAAGGAACTACAGCACGGTCACATGACTTCACGTCACCACCGCTAAGCTAAAGGTGGCTAATGTTGGGCTATAAAGGAACTACAGCATGGTCACATGACTTCAGTTCACCACCGCTAAGCTAAAGGTGGCTAATGTTGGGCTAAAGGAACTACAGCACGGTCACATGACTTCACGTCACCACCGCTAAGCTAAAGGTGGCTAATGTTGGGCTATAAAGGAACTACAGCACGGTCACATGACTTCACGTCTCCACCGCTAAGCTAAAGGAGGCTAATGTTGGGCTATAAAGGAACTACAGCACGGTCACATGACTTCACGTCACCACCGCTAAGCTAAAGGCAGCTAATGTTGGGCTTTAAAGGAACTGCAGCACGGTCACATGACTTCACGTCACCACCGCTAAGCTAAAGGTGGCTAATGTTGGGCTATAAAGGAACTACAGCACGGTCACATGACTTCACGTCACCACCGCTAAGCTAAAGGTGGCTAATGTTGGGCATGATGACGTTTAGTCGTCTCATTTAGACACTTGTTAGCAACCTCCGTTATTAAATCCACCAGTGGGGTATTTACTGACGTATTTTATGTCGTAGAACCAGCTTGTGTTAACCACAGACCTTATTTCAGGATAACAACCAAAAAAACATTGACCTCCAGGCGTAGGAACAGGAACAGATCACTGACGTTGCTTCTGATAAATGAAATAATTAAGGAAGTGTTGTCCGTGGTGTTACCTGGATAAAAACTGAGGTTCTTTTCGACGGGTCCCAGAGGAACTCCACAGTGTTGAGCTGAGTCGGGTTTGCTCGGGGGTCGATAATGCCGACGGACATGGGGATATCTGCAAAGTAAAACAGGCTGTTATCAGAAAAGGTCAGATTTGGCGTGCTCAAATCCACTGTTGTCTCCTTTGTGTCCTTGGTTGAAATTACCCTAGTTTAACTTTTGGGACGCAGCAGTGCGCACCTCATTTTTGTATGCATCGTCTATTGTAGATGGTTACATAGTTTAGTAATTACTGTGACACTTTGTACCGCAATGTGTTTCAGTTATTCATTCCAAAATGTTGGAAAAAGGCAATCATGGCCCTGGTTACCAAACCTCTCCTTCACTAAAAGGAGATGGAGTTATAACCGATCATCTGACGTATGTATAGCTCAGTGTGGTTATATTGTGTTAGCCTGCTGTCGTTTTTAAGGCGATCTAATGAAGATAAACACAGTGAACGTCTGCTGGAGGGAGTTTATGAAGTGAAGGAGATTTTCAAACTATTAAGCAACTGTGGGCAGCCTGTACTGTAAGAATCACACACATTATTACAGTGTGGTGACTACAGTGCTTTGCCGATTCTGTCCGAGTCTTAATTGACAGTCATAAGTACGCTCGGGTATTTATACAACTAGCACTACTCCTTGATTATGAGCATGTTTCCTCACCCAGGTCCAGGATGCGGTCCCCGGGTCGGTTCCAGCGCCAGCCCTCCAGCTGCTGGTGCTCCGTGTACTGCAGCCGGCGGTCATGAAACACCACCCGGAGGATGCTCTGAAATACAATATAAGATAGATGTTAAAGATCTCCTATCATGCTATTTTTAGACCTATATTATGGGTCTCAGATATATACAAATATATTAAAAACATGTCTATGATGTGTTTTGCTCAAAATACAAACAGATCATGCATTTTAGACATCCCTCATATCCCTCTATTTCAGCCCTGTTAGAGAACTGCTGATTCTCTGCTGGCCCCGCCCCCTTTTGAGCAGCAGGCACACGGTGAGTTCTGTGACGAGCGGGCTGCTCTGCTCAGATACTCAGCTAAATGCTGCCGTGATTAAACGCCGTCATGTTGCAAACCACTTCAAGGATTATTTCTGAAACAGTATGGAACTCTTTTTCTCTCTCTCAGGTTTACCACAAGGTGAGTTCCTTTTTTTTATTTCCTGCTTCTTCACACATGCTCTCTCCAGTACAGGTTAGCTCTGAGTGTTAGCGATGCTTGCTAATGTAAACAAAGACCATATTAATTCCAAAACAGTCGGGCATTGTTTCTGATAGCGACGTTTCTGATAGTGCCGTGGGTCCACATTTCAGATATTACGTCATATCGGACGCAAATCTGGATCAGCTCCGTTGTAGCCCCGTTTTAGAGTTTTGGGTACGGAGGAAAAGAGAGAGGGTTATGTTTTCTGACACTTTGTGAATTCCCTGACACACCGGGGACACATATATAAAAGACATCAAAAAGTGAATTTTGCATGACAGGTCCCCTTTAAACGTTGGGGTACAGGTTTGTATATATTGGAATGAGCCCCCCATTGATATCTGGACATCAGGGAGTCTACTCGCACTGCGTTGCCGATTGAAAACTCACCTGCATCTTTGCTAAAACACTTCTGCACGTAGCACTAACAATCTGGTTGGGCTAATAGACAGGAAATGTACCTGCAGGATTCTTGCTTTTAAGGTTTGTTTCTTCATGGATGAATGCACTTAAAGCGTCAGCTAAATTAAATGTAATGTAATTGGTAAAGTATGTGCGATTCTTACCTTAACCATTTTGTCAGTGATTTCCGGAAGTTCCCCAATTTTCCGATTGTCAAGCATTCTTATTTCATAGGACTGCCCTGCAAGGACACGTTCATACAGCGGGTTAAAAGAAAATTCTGTCACATGTATAGTTCAATCTTTATATTTGCCATCTTTTCCAGTATCATGGAGCACTTTCACACCGGAGTACTTTTCCCCCCCGAACTAGGCCGATAGGGGGGGGAGATTTTTCTTCAAAATAAAAGATTAGGTCATCAGCATCCATGATATTGGATTCATTGTTTTAAACAAATCATTTTTTTGTACAAAACAACCAAAAATAAAATAACTTTTACAACGACAAGAAATAGCAAGCATGAGTTCACGGCTCCTGCTCATAACCATTCAGGATTTGGTTTCTAAATAAGAGTTTTAGTATTTAGTATAGTATGTATGTAGGTGACATGCATGTGAATTAGCTTTCTGTTGGATGCTGACCTTGGTTGAGGTAGGTGAGGGTTTCATCGTGCAGTTTGACGGCGGGCGAGGTAGCTGCACACAAAACGTACTGAAAGGGGAGGATCTTGTTCTCGTTGTCCGGAGGAAGGATGGACTCTTCCTGTTTGAAGATGGGGAGGGCGAGGACATCGCTGAGGGACAGAAAACACACACAAAACAAACATTATTTCATTTACACAGAACAAATACATCATGATGGAACACTCGCGCTCCTATTGGCTAGCGCTCCAACTCATTGTGCGTGACAGGCTAAGAGGTGGGACATCTCGAAGCGGTTGACCAATCGCAACAGAGCCGGCCAGCTAACCAATCAGAGCAAAAGACTAAATACTGATATACACCTGAAGACATACTGATATACACCTGAACATCAGCAGGAGAGGACTCTTTAAAGTAGAGACACTACATACTGATATACACCTGAACATCAGCAGGAGAGGACTCTTTAAAGTAGAGACACTACATACTGATATACACCTGAACATCAGCAGGAGAGGACTCTTTAAAGTAGAGACACTACATACTGATATACACCTGAACATCAGCAGGAGAGGACTCTTTAAAGTAGAGACACTACATACTGATATACACCTGAACATCAGCAGGAGAGGACTCTTTAAAGTAGAGACACTACATACTGATATACACCTGAACATCAGCAGGAGAGGACTCTTTAAAGTAGAGACACTACATACTGATATACACCTGAACATCAGCAGGAGAGGACTCTTTAAAGTAGAGACACTACATACTGATATACACCTGAACATCAGCAGGAGAGGACTCTTTAAAGTAGAGACACTACATACTGATATACACCTGAACATCAGCAGGAGAGGACTCTTTAAAGTAGAGACACTACATACTGATATACACCTGAACATCAGCAGGAGAGGACTCTTTAAAGTAGAGACACTACATACTGATATACACCTGAACATCAGCAGGAGAGGACTCTTTAAAGTAGAGACATTACATACTGATATACACCTGAACATCAGCAGGAGAGGACTCGTTTAATTTTCTAGATTAATCTTTGGTCTATAAAATATCAGTAAAATTGTGAAAAATATCCATTCCTGAAAACAGAAAAGCAGGAAAATCTTACTATTAACAAAAAAACAACACTTTTAGTTATACATCTCCTTACCATTATTTTATTAGCTCACAAAAACCTTGATATTTAATTGTTGTAACTGTCATTTTTCAAATAGAGAGTCTTTCACTACACTTGATACTGAAAGGCAGTTCATTATAACAGAGCAAAGGAAGGATACTCTACTAAATACCAAGGTATCCAGACAGCGTGTCTTCTCTCCTCTCAACAGGAGAATTTCTGGAACAAAAGTGCACTCTGCTGCTCCTTCAGTATCATTTAACAAAACACTTAAGCAGCCAGAAAGGGGCAGAAAGAAGAGGGATCTTTTATCACGAAAACTGATTTCTGATTCAGATTTCTGCAGAACCTCATGCCGTCCTTTCCATCGAGAAAGACTGAGCAAAAGCATCATAAATATATTTTTAGACCTATAAAGACTCCACAAAAATACATGGTTTGCAGATATATGTATGTAGCAGGGATACGCTGCAGGTCTAATGCTCTAAGCTCATTTCATTAAAGATTATTCTTCATCTGATAATCAACAAGCTGCTTCGTCACTGTGTAGGAAGTGAAGTTTGAGACCCTATGGTTCGAAACACATTCATAAAAACACATTCAATTTGACAGAAAGTTTGATCCCCAATACTATTATATACAGCGGTTTCCAACCTGTGGGCTGCAGCCACGACGCATTGCAAGTGGGTCGCCAAATCATTTGCAAAACATTATGATTTGTGTGGAAACATTATCATTATTAAGATTTATTTGTATTCCTATCCTTTCTCTTTCTTGATCCTCCTTAGCAACGGTCATTCCAGTTGTTGACAGCGGTCTGTTCTACTGGATTAACAACGTGTCACATGATCTGAATCGACCAATCAGAACTTTATTTAGCCTCTGTATTGTTTATGGTTGAATGTGGGCGGCGAAACACATTTTTTTATTTATTCTTAAGTGGGCCCTGAGTTGAAAAAGGTTGGGAACCACTGATATCGAATATTCAACCCCCTTCCCGTTAGTAAAGGGTTTCTGATTCAGATGTCTGCAGTACCTCATGCTGTACGCCCCCGCCCCGAGCTCCTGCCCGATGCCCGACAGACTGGCATCAAAATCCTGCACCAAACCAGACTCGATCACCTCGTCCGTGAGAGGAAGCTTCAGAGCCCACGCCATGATGACCAGATGAAAGGAGAGCACTTCGGGTTAAAACCTGCGCCAAGGTTCCCACAACCTGACAATCTGTGGAGGAGAGAGGAGAAGAAGATAATAAAGCTTTATTTATACAGCACTTTTCATACAACACATGCAGCTCAAAGTGCTTTACAAAATGACACATCACAAACAAACACCAAGAAATTCCCCTCAGATTATTTGTTAAGAACTTTAAAAGATACATGCAGCAAAATATAACATTTGATCAGATAGACACAAGGAGGTCAAAGGTATGATAATAGAAATAAAATAAATAATGGTTTCTCTCTGACAGATAAGACACAAGACAACTGAGTCGATGCAACAATATAAATACCACAGGATTTATTTCTAAAATAGAGCCCCAAATGTAAGTTTAAATATCACATTTACCCCTTAAATACCCCATCACTCATTCATCACATCACGACTCGACTACTGCAATAGCATCCTCTACGGCATACCATCCAACCTCCTCAATAAACTCCAACATATCCAGAACTCTGCTGCCCGCCTCCTCACCCACACCCGCTCCCAGAGACCACATCACTCCCGTCCTCCAGAACCTCCACTGGCTCCCCGTCCGTCAAAGAATCCACTTCAAAGTCCTCCTCATTACTCACAAAGTCCTCAACAACCAGCCCCCCCCCCCCTACCTCACAGACCTGCTGCACCACCACACCCCTTCCCCCTACCTCACAGACCTGCTGCACCACCACACCCCTTCCCCCTACCTCACAGACCTGCTGCACCACCACACCCATTCCCCCTACCTCACAGACCTGCTGCACCACCACACCCATTCCCCCTACCTCACAGACCTGCTGCACCACCACACCCCTTCCCCCTACCTCACAGACCTGCTGCACCACCACACCCCCCCCCCCTACCTCAGATACCTGCTGCACCACCACACCCCTTCCCCCTACCTCACAGACCTGCTGCACCACCACACCCCTTCCCCCTACCTCACAGACCTGCTGCACCACCACACCCCTTCCCGCTGCCTCCGCTCATCTTAAGCCAACCTCCTATCCATCCCCACCCGCATCAATCACCGGACCTGGGGGGACCGTCGCTGCCCCCTCCCTCTGGAACTCACTCCCACAACCCATCAGAGACTGCACTGACCTCACCACCTTCAAAAAACTTACAAAAACTCACCTCTTCAATCTGGCTTTTAATGTGTGATTGTTTTTGTATTGCTTGATTTTAATTTGACTTTAACTATATATATTTATTTGTTGTTCTTTTATTTTATTTTCCCTATATCTGTAAAGTGTCTTTGAGCACCTGTAAAAGCGCTAACAAAATAAATATATTATTATTATTATTATTAAATAGTTTCAGTATCCTGGGGGATGCAGTCATTTGATAGGCTGTATCTTTGTGTAAAAGGTGGGTCTAATAACAGTGTAACATGGGTATAATATAGGTGTAATAATGGTGTAACATGGGTATAATATAGGTGTAATAATGGTGTAACATGGGTATACTATAGGTGTTTCAATGGTGTAACATTGGTGTATTCATGTATAATATGGGTTTAATAACAGTGTGTTATAGGTGTTATGTAGATAATAGCAATCAATGAATTCTCCAACATATGTGATTGCCTTAAAGGGTTCAAACATATCATACAACATCTGAATTAAATATTCTCCATGTTGTTAATTGTTAAGTCAGTGTTATCTTAACGTTGTGTTTTATATGTTATTTTAAATGTTGCTGTTAAGAATTTAAACATGTCACGTGTCTTTGAGTACCATAAAAAAGCGCCATATAAATCAAATGTATTATTATTATTATTTTAAAAACACTGCAGTGGTGACGTTTCACACGCTGTAAGCAACCATGCACTGATGCACAACAACAATAATAACTTGTGTAAAAGGACATTTTTTTATGCTTTTCATGTATTTAAATCAGTTAGAAATGATATGAAATAAGACATATCTTACCTTCAGTTGTGCAGCAGATGCTAACACTGCTTCTTCATCTTCTTCATGTCGCTTCTTCCCAGACGTAAAACAAACATCACAAGCTAACGAAGCTAACTACTGACAGACAGCTCAAACCAATGCTAACCTGTATTAGCCTTCACTTGTAGAGGATTCATGAAAACATAGAGTTCCTGGTAGACATATCTTTACATAGGAGGAATATAAAATTACCTCAGACTCGTTAATATATTAAATTAATGTATTGCTTTTGTTTGTTTATCTAGCTTCGTAGCAGGAAAAGGGAGCTGACGTCACTTCTGGTTCACTCTTCTTCTTCTTCGTGGTGTTATATTACAGTCGGGGGTCACTACCGCCACTCTGCGGTTATGGTGAGTAGTACAACACAAAGCTGAGTATTCATTCATTTTCTACTATCAGAGGTGGAAGAAGTACTCAGATCTTGAAGTAAAAGTAGATGTACTCAGAACTTGTACTTGAGTAAAAGTAGAAGTACTCAGATCTTGAAGTAAAAGTAGATGTACTCAGAACTTGTACTGGAGTAAAAGTAGAAGTACACAGATATTGTAATTGAGTAAAAGTAGAAGTACACAGATATTGTACTTGAGTAAAAGTAGAAGTACTCAGATCTTGTACTTGAGTAAAAGTAGAAGTACTCAGATCTTGAACTTGAGTAAAAGTAGAAGTACTCAGATCTTGTACTTGAGTAAAAGTACAAGTACACAGATCTCTTGAGTAAAAGTAGAAGTACACAGATATTGTACTTGAGTAAAAGTAGAAGTACTCAGATCTTGTACTTGAGTAAAAGTAGAAGTACACAGATATTGTACTTGAGTAAAAGTAGAAGTACTCAGATCTTGTACTTGAGTAAAAGTACAAGTACACAGATCTCTTGAGTAAAAGTAGAAGTACACAGATATTGTACTTGAGTAAAAGTATAAGTACACAGATCTCGTACTTGAGTAAAAATATGAGTACACAGATATTGTACTTGAGTAAAAGTATAAGTACACAGATCTTGTACTTGTAAAAGTAGAAGTACCAGAGTGTAGGAATACTCGGTTACAAGTCAAAGTAAAAGTATTAGCATCAAAATATAGTTAAAGTACCACAAGTAAAAGTATTCATTGTGCAGATTGGTCCATTTCAGAATAATATATATGATATGTTTTATAATGATTGATCATTAAAGTGTTATCAAAGCTGGTAAAGGTGCAGCTAGTTTTAATGACTTTGTATACTGCATATACTATGTTTAAAATATTTTTAAAAGATCAGAGAGCCAGCCTCTCGTCCAACATCAGTGTCTGACCTCACTAATGCTCTTCTGGATGAAAGGGCTTCCCACAGACACACTCCAAGATCTGTAGAAAGCCTTCCCAGAAGAGTGGAAGCTGTTATAGCTGCAAAGGGGGACCAACTTCAAATGAATGCCTAAGAGTTTGGAATGGGATGTCCTGAAAGCTCCTGTAGGTGTAATCAGAATCAGAATCAGAATCAGAATCAGAATCAGAATCCCTTTATTAGTCCCACAGAGGATACATGTACATTGTTACAGCAGAAAGAGCCAGAGACAGCTTCATGTTACCTAAAGCATGCATACAACAAAGTATTAAAGATTTTAAAAAGAAATGATAATAGGTGTTATAGTCTGTGTTGTTGTGTGGGGGGTCTACTAGGGGTCGTGGTGGTTATATGGTCTGACCGCTGCAGGAAGGAAGGACCTGCGGTATCTCTCTAATGTGTAGGTGGTCCAATACTTTTGTCTACATTGTGTATAATTGAGTATCATCCACATAACAATGAAAATGTCCCGAGTGATTCCTTATTGCCTAAAGGAAGCGTATATAATGTGAACACAATAGGTCCAAGCTCTGAGCCCTTATGCTTTGCTGTGGCAGAACTGGCTGGATCAAATCAAACAGAACTCTAAACACATTTTCAGCTCTGCACACAATCTGCAATTCAACTCTGCACTTTCTAAAACACTGCACACGGTTCTCTGAGTAACACACAGAGATCTGACATATTCACCTGTCAGCCATTTTCAACACACTGCCATTAAACATGCTACACATATGAGCCAATGAACAGATACACATGCCAGCTGACCGTTAACGCCTGGCTGCTTTACTGCTGACTCATCAATCAGGATATAAGTACAAGAAGTGGGATATTTATTTTAAAAATGTGTTTTTTTATCACAGAGCTGAGAAAATAATATTTATTATAAAAAAATCAAATATCCTGTTTATGAAATACACAAGAAAAGAAAAAAAAGATTTAAGAACAAATTAACATTAAATTTAAGCAAAACAAATATTATGCTATTTGGAAAACATAAAACAAATCCTCAGGTGCAATTAATACTAGATAACATAAACATAGAAAGAGTATATGAAATGAAGTTCCTTGGTGTGGTTTGAGAGCACAAGATCAGCTGGAAACCTCATATCAATCATGTAAAAGCTAAACTGGCTAAGACTATCTCAATATTGGGGAAAGCAAGACACATTCTGGACTACAACTCATTATGCTCTGTATAATACACTCATATTGCCATGTCTGAGTTACTGTGTGGAGATTTGGGGAAACACTTACAAAACCAACCTACAGCCGTTATGCACATTACAAAAAAGGGCTATAAGAATAATCAATAATGTTGGATATCTTGAACACACTCATTCATTATTCTTGAAGTCACACACACTGAAGTTTACTGATCTGGTTACATTTAAAACGGCACAAATCATGTACAGAGCAAGACATCATCTACTTCCTAGGAAATTACAAACATTGTTCATAGACAGAGAGGGCGGGTATAATTTGAGAGGAAATCTACATTTGCAACAACTCAAGGTCAGAACAACTGTGAGAAGTATGAGTAGAACAATCTGTGGGGTGATTTGATGGAACGGTTTGGAGCAGGAGTTCAAACAAAGCACAAATATAATTCACTTTAAAAGGATGTACAGAAACACTTTCTTGGAAAACTATGAGAATGATTTAAGGTGATTGAAGATGAGAAATGATTGTAAATGTATGTATAAATGTAAATATGTAAGTAGGAATAACTTGCAGAAATGATTTAAAGGATAATCATTGATCAGCGGTAAGTAAGGGGTGGGAATTAATAAGCATTTGCTTCCTCCCGCTCCCTTTCGGACACATATGATTTATTATTATTATTAATATGAATATTGATAAATACTGTATTCTAACAATACGGTATTCTGCTTTTCACATTTGTTATTTTTTATTAGTTTTTTTAATCTGTTCGAAATAAAGATGGAAATGAAAAAGAAATTAAATGAAGTCGTTAATTCATGAGAAAAGCACTCGGATAGAAAGTCAGAAAGATTTGAAATATTTGTTTAAAATAAATGTAAATAAAATGTAAATAAAATGTCCAAAGAAAGTATTCAGAGTCATTCTTATTACAGTTTTATAATTGTTTTATATATTTCTCAAATGACCTGCTTTGACTGCAGCTTGAGAAACTTCTGGATTCAGTCTGAAAGCATCCTTTTTTAACTTTAAACATGATCTTTAATAATGTTGTAGTTTAGTTTAACTCTGAGAGGTGGACTGGCTGGACTCCTCACTGGGACTCTGGTTCTGGACCAGCTTGCAGGGTCCAGGAGTTCTTGGAGAGAAGGAGCGCTTCCTGCCGCAGGACTCGGGGGATGGGAGTTCCTGAACATGGAGAAACAGCTTCAGTTATTATGCTCCAAATATCTGGAACAAAGTCACAGAAAGAATGTGTCTGCAGCTCAGAGAGTCCTGCTGGGAACCCACACATGTTGAGGAGCCCAAAGTGTGATGAGAGAAATGTACAGTACGGGTCCCCAGCACATAGAAGCTGCCGGATGCTAACCTGCATATGTTGGGAGAGCTTTACAGATCAGGAGAGGAACTAAGTACATTTACTCAAGGACTGTACTTAAGTACAACTTTGAGATACTTTACCTGAGTATTTCCATTTTATGCTACTTTGCACTTCTATTCCACTACAGTTCAGAGGTACATGGTGTACTTTTACTCCACTACATGTATTTAATACCTTTAGTTACTTTCCATGATGAATGATGTGAAATATAATCAAGTGTTGAATCAGACTTTAGTTCCACCTGGAGTAAATCCACAAGCTACTCTGCAGTATACAAAGTCGCTATTATGAGCCAAGACGGCCTGCTAGTGGGTTGCTTGCGGGTGATAGCACTGCTACAAACAATGTGGTCGCACCTGTACAACACGGGAATCATGCATCTGCTGATGTAAATGACTGTCGTACATAAACAATAGGATGCGGGTGGTGTCATATAACTCTCGTGGCCTACGAGTGGGGCACAGTGCTGGGGATAAAGCGAGGAGGCTGGTTGTTGATAAACTGTTGGAGGAATGTGATATTCTGTGCTTACAAGAGACATGGTTACCTAAGCAAGATCTGGAAAGGCTGAATACACTACATGCACATTTTCATGGAGTTGGAGAGTCAACTACTGATCTCTGTGATAAAATAGCCCATGGCAGGACACCTGGTGGTGTGGCGATTCTCTGGAACAGTAAATATGATCCTTTGGTTACAGTGGTAAGATTGGACGTCGACTGGGCCATTGGTATAGAGATCAAGTATGAAAATAGGTCATTTATTATCTTAAATATTTACACACCTTATGAATCGTATGAAAATGAAGATGAATATCTCAATAGAATGGCATTTGTTAACGCATTCATTAAGGATAATGCCACAACTTGTGTGTATGTAGTGGGGGACTTGAATGCTGACATTTCGGATGATAAATCTCTGTTTGGCAAACGATAATAATCTCATACTGTCAAGTAAATCTCTACTACCTGAGAAAAGCTTTCCATATATTAGTGAAGCATGGCATACTGTATCATGGCTTGATCACTGTATATGCACAGCTGATGCACACGCTTCTCTGGACAACATTGACATTTGTTATGAGTTGGCCACTACAGATCATATTCCTTTTGTATTGACCCTAAATGTTGAAAATATTCCGGTGCTATCTGTTGAGGACAATAAAACGTACACAGGGAGGCTGGATTGGTCAAAGTTAAGTGAGAAGGATATTAAACACTATACCTCACTCACTGACTAATCATTAGACTTGGTTGTAATTCCAAGAGAAGCAATGCTGTGTAGTGACACCAACTGTAAAAATGCACAGCATGGTAGTGATCTATGTTTTACATATGATCTTATTATTGATGTGTTAAATGCCTCAAGTAAGGGTTTTTACAACAATAAGAAAAAGGAGCA